CGCGCGTGCGCCCCGCGACCCCCGGGCAGGCCGCAGGCGGGGGCGGGTGGGCTCCCGGCCCCGTCGCAGGTCTCCAACCTTCCGTCCCGCAGAGCTCTGTTCTCGGTGGACAGGACACGGCGTGCGGCCACGGTCGGCCGTCATGCACGCAACCCCGCCCACAGGCTGCGGCCCGCGGCTTGTCACTCAGTTGGGCGCGCACCGGAGGCCACCCGTCGTCCTGCACGGACCCCGGCCGCAGCGCGCGTGCCTCCGGGACGGACCATGAGGTGCGACGCGTCCCCCCGGGCCCGCCCGTGTAACCCGAGCCCGGTTACCTGGGCGGGCTGCCTGGCGGAGGGAGCCGCGCCAGGCCGGGCCGCCTCACACCCGCGGCGGCGGCGGGGGCGAGGACGGGGGCGGGCCCACCGCGCAGCCTCTCCGGGGAGGGGCGCAGGCGGGGTCGCCTGGGGATTGGTCAGAGGGTCGTGATTGACAGCGGGGCCGCCCCGCCCTCTCCCCGCAGGCCGCTCTTGCTACGGCTGGGGTCCGGGAGTGGCCTTAGAGGATACCTTTGCTGGGAGCCCAGTGAGGCGGAGCAGCCCCACGGAACCGTGAGACCCTCGGTCGTGGCCTCCGAGGCGTCTCGCGTGGGCCGCTGCCCTTCCCCGCACCCTTCCTCCGGACGCTCTCGGGCGCTGTGGCTTCTCTGGGTCTTTGTCCTCCTCCTTCCGTGCCGATCCCTCTTGGCCCCAGAAGCTTCCTTTCGGCTACACTCGGTGCCGGGCCAGCTGCCTGGACGAGCGGACCTTCCCCGTGGCTTCGCCCTCTGCGCAGACACAGGTGACGCCGATTCTGGATCTCCCCTGTGCTCCTGGCCCTGGCATCCCACCACCTGCTCCACATCTTTCCTGCCCTCCTTTCGACTTTTTCACCCTCTTTCCATGGCCGTGAACTCTTGAGTAGTGAGCCCCACACCTCGCCGGCAGCCTTGCTTCCTCTCTGCCACCCGTAGGTCGTGCACCGAGGCTGCGCCCTTCAGAGCTCTCTCCGCTCTAGCCTCCAGTCTAAGGCCCCATCCTCTCCCTCTACCCTGCTTACCCTGGTACGTCTTGCCTGCATTTGCGCTCCAGGCTTTCAGCCATGCATAGGAATTCCCACTGCACTTCAAATCAGCACCTCCATCATGGCCCTGCAGTCAGTCCTGTCTGCCCTGCCCCTGCCAGTCCTTCACTCTCCATTCTCCAGACATGACACACCTTTCTGTGACTAGTGAATGTTACCCTGTCTTCCTCAAGCCATTCTCTGAACAACACCCCTAAAATTAAACCAGCACCCCTGTGGTCACACTGGAGATTGTCTGGCCAGTGTTGAGCAGGCGTGCTATCATGCTGCTCAGGACAGCTTAACTGCATTTCACAGGTGAGGGGGGTCCCACAGAGCAGCCAGCTGATACCAGAGAGTTTCTGGGGCTTTATGAGACCGGAGTTGGTGAATGTGTGCTCCCAGTCAACTCATCCCGCTGGGCAGTGGCTGGTACCATGTGTGGGGCTCCCTCCAGCTTTGCTAAAGTGGTGGCATGTGTGCTGATCCCCCCAAGTGTGGCCCTTAGGAACTCTGAATTCAGCATAATATTGAGGAACTTTGTCCCAAAGGATGGGGTAGTTGAGATGGACTGACTGCCACCTAGTGACAGACAGGAGGGAGGGAACTGGCGTTGACCCAGTTGGCTGATCCTGGCTTGCAGGTGTGGTCATGCCTGATCCTCATAATTACCCTCTGATCAAGGATGATGGTCCTGGGAATCTGAACCCAAGTCTGAATTCAATCTGTTTCATAAGAGAGCCACTGGCTGAGGTAAGTCCTGGTGGTCAGTAGCTAGCTGGGTAATCAGTACAGGGAATGGAGTCTTGTCCAGGCCTTGCTTGGAGCCCAACAGAACATGAATACTTGAGAGCATAGCTTGGGCTGGCTTCAAGTGGTGCCACCCCCTGTTATATAAAGGCAGTTGTGCTGAGAGCTGTGGAGGGAAAGAACATCTATGTGAGGAAAGTAGTCCTACCTCGGATGGAGTAAACAAGAAAGACCCCCTTGATTATGTAGGACTTCGAGAGGCCAAAGGAGGTAAGAAGATGGCCAAGAGAATTAATGGTGGGTTGGGGAAAAGTACTTTCCAGGCAGGAGCACTAGCATGTACAGAGGCTCAGAGGCCAGAAGCCTGGAGTTTACCCAGTGAAGGGGAATGGAGCCAGGACAATTAGGCTGGGAAGGTATGTGGGGGCTGAATCGGGCCCTCCCTGCATGCCCAATCTTGTCCACTCCCCTACGAGACACCTTCCTGAGCCTTGCAGCCCTTGTTGAGCTTCCTGTGCCAACCCCAGCAATCTGTAGGTCACAGTGCACTTCTAAACTCTGTTTTTCTGAGATTCCCAGTGTGCAGCCCAAACCTGCTTTTGCTCTTGTCTCTGAAGCCAGACCTCCAAGGGCTCCAGGTCTCTGCCAACAGCAATCTGTTGCCAGGCCTATAATCAGGGAACAGAGCCCCATTTCCTCTTGGGACTTGTCGGGTAGCATCTCAGGCTTTAGGTATCTCCTTCCACCCTTTGGTTCAGGAAAACCAGGGCACACACAGGGTGTGGCCAATATGGGCTTTCCCGAGCTCAGCACATCTATGGGTGTGTAGGTGTCAATGGTAATGTGTGTCTTCTGCAGCTGTACTGTCTGGGAGGAGCACCCACATGAGGCACATGCCTGTGACATCACCTAGGTTAGCCTTGCTTGGGCTTGTTTCTCTCTGGGAACACTCATGTTTCAACATGCCTTAGCTTACACCAAGCCTGTGCCTGGAGTCTGAGGAGAGACAGCCCAACTGTCCCTTTGGTCTGTGGATTTGATCTTACATCTAGTTAATAGTCACAACAGTGACTGGCATATTGTGAACGCAGTATAAGTGCCTCGTTTACATTGGCTCATTACAGCTCTGTAAGATAGTCTCATCCCCATTTAACAGAAGAAACATGTCTTGCTAGAAACAGTGGTGTATAGCTATAGACCTAGAATTTGGGAGGTTGACGCAGGAGGATCTCCAGGTTGAGGTCAGCTTGTATTACACAGGGAGATCCTGTCTCAAAAGAAGAGCGACTGAGACATGGTCACACAGCTAATAGGTGGCAGGGAAAGAGGCATTCTAGCTTCTGTTGATGTTGCTTACCATGTACATATGAATTTTGTGTGTGTCCCTTTCTAATTTTTTCTTTTTTGAGATAGGGTCTCCCTGTAGCCTCAGCTGGCCTGAAACTCCATATGTAGACCAGGCTGGCCTCAATCTCACAGAGATCCACCTGCCTCTGCCTCCTAAGTGTTGGAATTACAGGTGTAAGCCACCACACCTGGCAACATTGGGTGTTTTTTAAAAACTGCCTCTGACAGGTTGGAGGGTAGAATGTTAGGGAGTAGCCCCGAGGCCAGCATTGTGGAGTGAACAGGAAGGAAAGAGCAGTGGGCACAGCTTTAGCCAACCTCCAGGAACCTCTGTTTAGCACTGGCCTCAAATGGATGTTCATTGTTCTGAGAAAGGCTCAGCCTCAGCCACATGGCTCTTGGTGGCTGTGGGGAACTGAAAGTTTTCTGCTGACACCTCTATCAGCAGTTGTTACAAGCCAGTCTTGAGGTGGGAAATGTTCATTCATTTTGGTTTTTTGAAGTTAGGTCTTGCTGTGTCGCCCAGATTCATCTTAAACTTGAGATCCTCCTGTCTCAGTCTTCCAAGAATTGAGGCTACCATATGCACCACCACACCAAGCTCCCTAAATGTATTCTTTTCCTGCCCTTCTAAAAAATAGACTACTTAAAAACAAAAGAACAAAAATACTGTGTTGTTGAAATGGGAGCTAGGATTATAAAACAGGAATCACAAAATGGTAATGTGACTGTTGTGATTTAGAATCAAGTGTGGCTGAGCTTTCTGGTAACCAAAGCAGTAACACTTGGTATTTGGTCACTGAGTCCTTGAGAGGGAGAGAGAATTTTTCCAGGATTAAATTATACGAAAACTTTCTCACATGGCTATGTATTTGGTTTAAATAACAGAATGTTCTCAACAGGTTACAAAGGCTATCACAGATGATTTGTTCCTTATAATGATCTTGAGTGACTATAGAAGGTGTAATTAAGAAGCATAGCTCAGAGAAACTCCTACAAAAAGGAGGCCATAAGACTACAAAGATGTGAGACGTCCCATTAATCCATACAGAAAGCTGTGTTCGTCTTTAACCCTTTTACTTTGCTGCTTGTGTTAGATGTCTCAACAGGCCCTTGGCCCACAGCTAATACTTCTAAGCTTACACCTCAGTGCACCTTGAGCTCCATCCTAGCCTGCAGTGAGTGTTCATCCCCTGACCACCCAGTTCTATCCAAGTCTGTCTCAACTTCTGAGGCCACAACCACCTGCTTTCCTTCTCACCTGGGATGGGTTCTTACTCGTTAAAAGTAACACCTAGCCTAGCAGCGCCCAGGGACTCCTTTCTCCACAGCCCTTGCTGCCTCACTACTCCGGTTGAGGCTTTTCAGCTGACAAGAGCTGAGTACTGTGATTGCTTCACTAAGGTCAAGTGTGACACTGCAGGTAGAGGAGGGGAAACAGGCCAGAGTGTACTTGCTTTTTACACTTTCACCCTTTGTTCCAGCACATATCCCTGATACGGGTCTCTAGAAGAACTTAGCACAAGTAGTTAGAGAAAGGCCAGCATCATTAGCTGGTTCAAAACGACAAGGGTTCTGGGAGTACTGAGAAGGGCCTTGGCTAAGACTCCTTAAGACTGTAGGGAGGGAGCGAAGTGAGAGGTACTGTACATTTCTGAAGACAGCCCCTCCAAATGAGCTGGGCACTCATTCACAGTAAGGTCATCCCAAGGTGTTCTGTGAAGTGTTTTTACAACTGAAACACTAAAATTTTTAGAGATGTGTGGCTAAAATGTCTAAGTTTGTTCAGTGACACATGTATCCTTTAAATCAGATACTGAAAACCACTTATGAAGTATTGACTTCCCACATTCACATTTCTATCAATAAACTTCACATGAATCTTTTTCACTGTAAGAACCATATATTGAATCATCCAATGTAATTTCTCAAAGCACATTGCTTCCACTGCTTTTTGATAGCACACTTCTGAAAACCCAGCTTTATTCAGGAATAATTCACATAGAAGATGCACCCATTCTTTTTTTAATTATTTATTTAATAACCATATATTTAAAAGAAGCATTTCATTACAACCGCATTGACATGTTCAATAACAATTTCCAGAGCTAAGATGCATCTCTTTCAAAATTGGCTGTAAATTTTTAGGTTTACAGATATTAAGTTATTATGCAGTTTAAGCATTGACAAATGAAACCCCTTTATGACCTCCACCGGAATTTCACTTAAATGGAATCAGAGTATGTACCACCATGCTTACATTCAACATGTTGCAATTCATCCATGTTGCTGCTCAGATGCTGTGTGAGCTAAATTGGGAACTTTAAGCACTGTGTGTGTGTGTGTGTGTGTGTGTGTGTGTGTGTGTGTGTGTACCTGAAACTTTTCTTCCACATATACATACTAAGGCTCTTCATTAACAATAACTTATTTTTGTTTCCTTACTTTATTGGTTTACAGCATCTCCCTGAAGCCCCAGCTGACCTGGAACTCACTATACTAGGCTGGCCTCAATCTCAGAGATCCACCTGCCTTTGCCTCCCAAGTACTGAGCTCAAAGATATGCTCCACTATGCCCGGCTCACTGTTTTAAAGCTTATAGAGACTCCCAAATGTGTGCAAGTGTAGGAAGTACAGTAAGCATAGTGAGCCTCGATCAAGCTTTGGCAACTGAGTTTTTTTAAATGGTTCTAGGGATCAAACTGAGGGCCTCATGCATCCTAGACAAGTGCTAGAACTATACCACCAGCCCCAGCTTCAGCCATTATGAATTGATGATGACTGTTTGTTTCATGCCAAACTCTACCCACTAAAACCCTCCCATATTATTTTAATCTCAACTCTTACTGTGTTATCCATAAATAATTCAGTGTCCTTATGAAAGGTTTCGAAAAGTACAGAATAATTATTAAACCAAAATCTACTGAGCAACTTTCAAGAGGCTGCCTACATGGGGCACTTGGGGCCGTACATTTCTTTGCCTCCTCCTTGTCAGGGGGCTACTTAGAAGCATCCAAAACTAGCTTGATTGAGGTCATTCAGAGTAACATCTTCTCCAAGAATTGGTCTTTGGTTCAAAACAAGTACAGAATGTTTCTTCATATGAAGGAATTTGCAAGGAATTAAATAAAATTGAATTTTCTTTTTTCAGAATTAAAAAAAAACTTCCCTTTGGGCAATTGTCTATATTCAGCATATGTGATATTTAGGAAACAACTTACAAGTTAATAACTTTTTAAAAATTTTATTTAAAAATTTTATTTTTATGTGTATGCATGTATTGCCTGCATATAGGTTAAGTACACCCGTCTTGTGCAATGCCCGCGGAGGTTAGAAGAGGCTGTGGGATCCTCTGGGACTGGAGTTATGGGCAGTTGTTAGCGGCCATGTGGGTGCTGGGATTCAAACCCGGGTCTTCTGCAAGAACAACCAGTGTTCTTAACTGCTGAGCCATCTCTCCAGCCCCAATTTTATTTTTTATGTGTATGAGTGTATTGCCTGCATGTGTGTAAGTGCACTTGTGTCGTGCAATGCCCATAGGTCAGAAGGTGGGGTCAGATTCCCTGGAACTGGAGTTATGGATGGTTGTTAGCTGCCATGTTGGTGCCGGGAATTGAACCCAGGTCCTCTGCAAGAGCAGTCAGTGCTCTTAACCACTGAGCCATCTCTCCAACCCCCCAAGACAATAATGTACTGGAAGTAGGAATGGGAGAAAGGAGCACAGGGATGAGGTTACCTGGTTGAGGTTGGAGACAGGGGTGAGTATGGGGCATTTCACGGAGACAGGAAACCCAGGTTTGACCGGCTTGGAATGGTAAGTACCAAGCTGTCTTCCAGAGGTTCTTGTGGATACAGCTACAAGTGTGGTTGGTGATGTGTACAAAACTTAGGGGTCTGGACTCAGGAGTCATCACTCTTGGGTGTGACTGGAATCAGGCTGAATGAAACGAGAACCACAGTGGCTAAGGACCTGATGTTAGAGGTGACCCAGCAACAGCCCGACAGGAATAGAAGTGAAACCAGAAGGTGACATTACAGGAGCCAGAGAGGCATTTTTAGAAGGGAGTGGTCACATGGTATGAGTCCTTTCAAAGGAAATGTCCAGAAAAGACTTGTATAGAGACAAATCAGAGAAGGTTACACATGGAAGTGCAGAGTAGCTGTAAATGGATATGAGGGATCTTATCCAGATGAAAATGGTCTTAAGCTCATACCTAATGGCAGAACCTGTCAGTAGTTTGTAAAATTACTGTACCCTTAGAATGCTGGATTTATGACATGTAAAATACACTTCAATAGTGCTAAGGGAAAAAAGGTATGGTTAACATCATCCGTCCCCTAAAGAACTTGAGCAAGATGCAGACTGAAGAGCACATTTATTAGCTTGGTTGCTGGGTCACTGGTGACCACAGGGTGTAGGGAGGGAGCTAGGGCAGATGCTGGTTGCAGTGGGTGGGGGATGACTAGGTGGTGTGGATGACTCATAGCAGGTACCTGTTTGTGAAACGGGAAGTGGAATGGTAGCTGGAAAGGGCTGGGGGTTGGGAAATTTCTATTTTTTAATTCCACAGAGACTGGATAAGACTTGCCGAGCAGATAGCAAGGGGAGGGGGAGATGTGTAGCTTGGGTGGCACATGGACGCTATTCCCCTCTGCCCACAGCTGGACTTAGGCTCCACAGAAGGAAGTTCTCAGATAATGGCCTTCTGGCTTCTGCTCTTGAATATGGGCTGGAATCGACATCTACTGGGTCACTAAGCAGAGGTAAGCTGACTCTTACCTCCAAGACTGAGGCACCTTTCAAGTCCTTCACACTGGCCACCCCCTCCCCCCATCTTTATAGCCTCCTCTTAGTCCCAGTCAGGGTCAAATGAAGAGCCCCATTGTGCTCTGCCAGGCCTGCCACTAGGGCCTGGATGCTCTCTGTAGTTACCTCCAGTAGCTCTGCATCTTCATCTGCTGTCAGAAGACTTACCTAAGGGGGTACATGCTACTTTGTGCTCAAAAGCTGCCTGAAAACCCTCTTGTATTTGAATACAATTAAGGATACTTGTTTGTGCCCTAGCTGTGTCAGGTTCCCAAACTAAAGCTCGCTTCTCATCAGCCACCAGCTGGAGAATATAGAGAGCCTGTGCTGTTGATCCTTACATTCTGTGGTCTGGCTTACCTGGTTATAATTTCTTGCTCTCAAACAATGATTGCTAGCACAACTGTATTTCCTGAGGTGAGCACTGTCTTTCTCATTGGCCACTGAAATCTGGCTTCTAGGGACCCCCAAGATTCTGTGCTGTGGGCCCAGTACCAGTGAGATGTGAGACCATCAAGGAAGATGGCTCTGCTCTCTGAATATACCTGCTCATGCCAGCAAGCTAGGGTCCAGGGCCCTTCAATAGGTGACCAGTTCTGACCTTCCAGCTCCCTTTGACCTGGAGGCTTCACCTTGCATCCTGAATTAGACACTAACCTATAATAGAACACTTTGTAGAGAACATGGCTAGGTTTTGTTCCCAGAGCACTGGGAAATGGTTACAGTTAACTCCTTTCAACCAACCAATCACTTCAGGGAGAAGTCTTCATTCCATCTGGGCAAGAGCTTTTGGTTTTTGGTGCTCTGGCTCAGTGCCGACCAGACTTTACCACGTAAGCACACCTAAAGTTACTTTCCACTCTGCCCAGTAAACATGGAAAGCTCTCCAAAACTCTGCTTCCCAAATAAACCTGGCCCTGTCTTGCTCAATGAACATTGCCCACACTGGGCTTATGTAGTTCTTAAAAGGTTTACTGCATCCTGACTTATTTTCTGGACCTGTCTTTATGGATGGAAACTTTTGATACCTTTCATTCCCCATCAGGACAGATGCACTCCTTTCCTGCCCCATCTTCTCCTTGGGGAGGGAGGGATGTACCCTTGCTGAACTGAATGACCAGACAGACCACGTTCCACATTAAACCCCAGCCCCAGAGCCTTCACTCTAGGTTGGGAGCTCATTAATAAAGAAGCAGAGGCTAAGTTTCCGTTAAGTTGTAGGAGTTTATTTTAAATAACCTACAGTTGATTAAAAGGGAGTTCATGATAAAAATAGAAGATACTTGAGGAAAGATGTGGGAAATGGACTCTGCACACACACTAAACTAACAATGCCTCTAAAACTAATGATTATAGCAAAAAAAGTCTTCACATTAAAATTCTGCTTTTTATGGTTTTTTTTTTTCCATTTTTTACACAATTACAAAAAAAATAAAAGCCCTAAAATCTTATTTTTCTTTTTGGGGGGGACCAAATACTCATTTTCCTTTAAAATTTATTGATCTGTGGAATTTTTCACAATAAAAATCTTTCAAATGAAAGACTGGAGTTTCAGAAGAAAAAGATGGATATCATAAAGGTTACAAAGAATGCTCAGAACAAAGGATGATGGGAAAATGGTTTCAGTCATCATTTCATTATCTTTAGACTCACTCACCCTTCATCCCTCCCCAATCCCAATCTACACGATCTTTAAGATCAAGAAAAAGGCTTAAATATTTTAAAATAATTAAAAAGAAATAAAAATTCACATTTAAAAAGGAACACTCAAGTCAGGAAATATTTTCCCATCATGCTTTTCTGTGAACAGGTGTCTGAACGAAAACACTGCTGATGTCACGACTGCTTCAAGTTTAATGAAAACTGATTCCCATGATGATAGAGTAACAACTCTAATAGGTGCGCTGGGTTTTTGTTTTGTTCTACTTAATTTTAAATTCCTGAAGTAGGGGAGGGGAGGGAGTTTAGGAATTCATTTCTATTAAAATATAGAAGTTATTGCAAAACCCTAACTGTAAAAACGCACCAATATAATCAGACTTCGCATACAGTAGCTAAGAGAATCCAAACAACTTCAGTGAAACTGAATCTGCCTGGCAGGATGCTGACAAATTCCCATTCATTTGCCCTCTTGAAAATAAAACAAAATTCAAAACAAATCATACAGCTAGAATTTTGATATCTGAAATATTTTTAAATAAGTTGTCCATAGGACAACTGGCTCAGCTCTCCCTTATAATAGCTCCAGGTTTATCTTTTTGCAAAGATGTTGGTTTAAGACTTGCTGCCTCTCCCTCAGATGTGAGGGCAAGCGAGGCTCACAGTTTATCCATCTTCCCCAAACCACACTGTTCCTTTTCACAGAACTTGTGAGACTGGCTAAAACTCGTAGTCCTCATCGGTCATATCAATGGCCCAAGCAAACTTCTCCCGCTGAGTTTTGTTGTAAATCTTCTCAATTGGAACCCCCCACTTTTTGCACCTGTAAAAAAAAAAGGGGAGGGGCATAAGAGGGTATTAGTGTGCATAGCCCAGGGTGCTACAGGCAACGTGTTCCAAGGGCTTTGTGACATCGCCTCATTTAATCTTGACAGAGCTCTAAAGCAGGTGCTGCTACAGATATACAAGCAAAAAAGCTGGAGATAAAACACTCAGAGATGGTCAGCAACACTATCCTCATGCAGCTAGTAAGTGGAGATGAAATTTTACATTAAGCAGTTTGGTCCAGAGCCTATACTTTTAACCAGTAAGATCCTTGGGACCCATATGGTAGAAGGAAAGAACCAACTCATTCCTACAAGTTGTCTACTGACCACCACACATGTACTGCGGTATGCATACTTGTGAACACAAATGAATAAAGGAAAAAATAGTTAAGCCAACCTCTAGCATCATATCTGGACAGGGCTGGGTGGAGCTGCTGCTTCTAGGCCGAGCCACCTGTCTTGGATGTTATTGTGTGACTATGTATGAAACTATGGGAGGGGGTGTGTATCATACACCACAGTGGATTTGTGCCTTTGTAAAAATGTCTCTCCACCTCTGTTTAGGTTACTTGGATCTATATTCTTAATCTCTGCCCCCCCCCCATACACACACTTCCCTTTCTGTTTTTATTATTTTTGTTTTGAAATATGGTCTTGCTATATAGACCAGGCTGGCCTCAAACTTGCAATGATCTTCCTGTTTCTGCCTCCTGGGTGCTGAGATTATAGGCATTCATCACCACACCCAGCTGCCTTTCTTCTTAGGACAAAAATTTCACTGAAAAGTTCTGTTAAAATATAGAAGAATGGACTCTTCTGTTTCTCCTTCATTAAGGCCGAGGAGATTCCATCCCTGCCCTAAGGTTTTAAGTAGAGCTGGGGAGAAGGCTCAGTGGGTAAGAGCACTTGCTATGAAAGCATAAGGACCTGAGTTCAGACACCACCGCCCCCCCGCATCCATATGAAATGTTGGGTGTGACTGTAAACACTTGTAATCCCACTCTGCAGGGTGGAAACAGATGGATCCTGAGGGCTCAATGAGACCCTGTCTCATGGAACCAAGGAACAGCATGAGAGAAAAGACCAGATGTACTCGTCTGTCCTTTGCAGGCATGAGCATCTGCACACACATGTGCACAGACATACCACACAAGTTTAAAGAGAACAGATGGAAAGGTTACATTAATGGAACTGACCTCTTAGGACCATCTAGGATGTTCTATGCTCCTGTAGACAGGACTCAGCAATTAAGAGCAGCACGTATACAGCAAAAGACAGACTATCTCAGAAGATGGGAGTGTGCAGCTTAGGAATGGCACGAAGATGGGAGTGTGCAGCTTAGGAATGGCACGAGAAAGATGACAATACCCTCTACCTTTCTACAGCCAATAGCAGGAACTCTAGACAGGCTCAATGCTTACCAGGCCACTGTGATCCTAGGATCCAGATAATTGAGTTTAGAGGTTCCCAAGGCAATTTGTTTATTCTCTTCTCGGTCAGTGGCTTGAACTTCCAGCTTCATCAACTGTTCTTCCAGTCTCTGTACAGCCTTCTTTTTTGACTCTACCACCCTGGAAGAATGGCAGAGCCATCATGAACTAAGATTAGCCTCTGACAAGGAGAGACTGCATCCCACCCTGCATAGCACTTAGAGGAATAAAAGCATGAAAGGCCCAAGTACAGGTACTTCTCCCAAGAAACCCTAGAAAAAACTATGATGGCCCACACTGGGAGGCTAAGAGAACTGGGAGGTTGATAGCCAAGGCTACATAATGAAAACCTGTCTTCAAAGAAAAGAGCTAGATGAGCTGGGGTACCAAGGCCTGAGTGATGATGCCTGCTTCTCTCTTATCCAGCCCTCAATACAACACCAGATACATACTTCTTGGTCTTTGCATCCTTCATGACTTTGGCATCAGCCTTAGCACTTTTCAGGTCCCTCCGAGCATCTGCTAACTGATCTTTCTTGGCATCAATCTAGGTAGGGAAGAGCAGAAGTACAGTTAAAAGAAGGGTTCCATATTAGAAGGTGAAACCTGAGAGTTTTCTCTTCAGAGCTCTTGCAGTGTTTTCTAGGTAAAAACACAGGGTAGCTTCAGGAAGCCAGAAGAAATGCATAATGGATGCTGAAAACAATCCAACTGCTCACTTATGTTCTTCAGTGAACTTCAAAGTATGAGGTTCTATAAGAAAGGTAACCTGGAAATCTGGTTGATAATCAATCAGGGAACACTTTGGCTTTAGATAAGAGTGGGTGGTACAGAGGACAGCTGTTTATCAAATGAAACTTGGGTCACGCTTCAGCATTCCTTCTAAGGATACTGTAGGAGAAACTAGAATATTGAAGCTGGCTATATGCATCTACTAAGCAAGCCCAGCTCCCACATTCTGCCAACACTCTGGGAAGGAGTTGTCAGGAAACTTAAAAATGGCAATTAGGCGTGGCCTGGCTTTGACTTTCTGTTTTAAGAAAACTAGTTATCACTCAATAACAGAGATGTGAGAACATCAACTGCAGTATACCTCCCCTCAAAGGAAAATTTATGGAATCTATCTAAAAAAAAAAGAATCATTTCATCCTTGTTTGCGAGAACCCTTGAAAATCTAAGTCCCTCTTACGGTACTGCTTGGAGATAACAGCAGGCATTACTACAACGCTTGAGCTAAAGCTGGTTGAATTTGTGCTGCTGGGGTTCAAAGAATCCCATTCCTGTAATCACCCCGCTGACCTGTGAGGTCAAGAGAACATCCAAGAATAAATACATGTTGACACTCACACACTGGGCTGCTGTTGACTCAGCCTAGAATTTGTTAGACACATAAATGCACACACATAAATACAGCCCAGAATTAAACAGTCCACCATTGTGAAAGATTCATTAAATATGTTTTACTGTGAGTGGCTTACTTCCAACATCTATGTTGTCCAAAAAAGTTAAGGGAACTGATTTCATACACAAAAGTATCACTGACAACACTAGCCAGATTCTTTTTAGGCTAGAAATACAAGCAAACTGCAATCTTTTTAACCATTTCTGTGAATGCTAAATTGGCAGGCTATTTCAAATTCTCTCTAAGCATCAAAGACTCTATTGATTCACTTGGCAAGTGGGGTTGTGTTTGCTTTGTAGGCACGTAGGAGAGGGTTCCTAGGCTTGGAGGGCTTGTCTGGCAGGCAGCCTGAGCTGCTCCAACAGTGGTTCCAGAATGAGGGCACCGAATGACCTCTCCTTGTGATCCAGGGACGGTCTCCTGAACTGGGTACATAGTACTTGAATATTCATGCTTTTAGTTTCTACTTGGAATGATAACATGAATAAGCAGTATCAGGTGACCACCATTTAACAGAGGAGCATAAGGATGAATGCTATCTTGGCTTGCTGACCTTAAGGACCACAGATTAAGAGGTCTGATGTATGTTCACTCACTGTGGATACCGAGAGCCCCTCAAGAAAGCAAGAGGCCATCTGTAGTGACAACTCTAGGTTGTCTCTTTGGATCTATCATGCATAGGTATTTATCTTAAAGAAATGTCACTCAACAGAAGAAAAGTATTCTGGGCCTGTAAATGTGTACTAAGTCTCACTCCACATCAGTTTTTAAGTTTAGTTGTCCACTGGGCGTGGTGGTGCACGCCTTTAATCCCAGCCGAGGCAGGCGGATCTCTGTGAGTTCAAGGCCAGCCTGGTCTACATAGTAAGTTCCAGGACAGCTGGGGCTTAATCCCGCCGAGGCAGGTGGATCTCTGTGAGTTCAAGGCCAGCCTGGTCTACATAGTAAGTTCCAGGACAGCTGGGGCTACAGGGAGACCCTGTCTCAAAAAGACTAAAAAAAAAAAAAAAAAAAAAAAGGTTCAGTTGTCCA